AAAAAAAAAAAAAAAGATGTGTGAAGTGAATTTAAATGATTATAAACATTGAAAAACTACTTTTACAGTAGCAAAAATCAATCAATATTTATTTGTATAAATTATGAAAAAAATTAATAAAAAAAATTATACATATTATTGTAATATAAAACATAATACTTTTCATATTTCTCCATTGAAAAACTCTATACATTATGAATACCTTGCGTAACGAGGTGGAAAACGCTAGTTGGGGATATAAGAAAGGTGAGAAGAGGCACATGGGGCCTAGTCACTCTGTTAGTACTCTCGGTTCGTATCTGAGACTTTCCAATTTCAACTTGAATTAACTAATTTCACCCAAAAAAACACAAAACTTGCACTAACTAATCTTAACAAAACACTGACATGTCAGAAAAATTCAGTAAATAACTAATTAAAAGAGTTCACTTAATTTAATCCTGACATATACTAAATTAATACTCTACTTTTGTTCTCTTCCTCCTCAGTTTGTCCCCCACTAGCTGTCGATTCTTGTTGTGCACTATTCTTCTTGGCCTTTGCCTCCTCATTTTCCCTCTTCTTCACCTTAAGAAATTGGATTAGGTCCTTAAGCGGGGCGTGGAGATCATTATCATTTCTCATCAACTACTTCTCCAAGCTTTAGATTCTGGTTTTATCTGGTGAATGCATAATCATGTATGTTATATGAGAGACTCATCTTTGTATGTAATATGCAGAATCCACCTTTCTTTGTTGCCAAACTAACCGTCAAAACGTTGCCTTGTGCCATATTTTTCCAGGTCAACAGTCTTTGTTGCTGTCAATTTATTCTATTTTTTTCTCATGCCTTCCTGAATATATTAAAATGCCTATCTACATTGTGGCATTGTTCCCTCCAGGAGAGGGATGACAAGAATTCTGAGAAGACATTTCAGAGTTTGTTTTCTAATTATCATGGTTATCACATTCCTGAGTTTGTTTTCTATTTCCTCTTTCAACCCAAGTATTAACTACTAAAGCAGCAGTTGAATTCCCTGTGATAAACCCAGTCAAACAAATGGAACATTAGCCAATATGGATCTATATTTTGCGCAGTTTCTGTTAAATACTGAAGTTAGAAAACCTGTTTCGTTAATCATATTCAAATTGACAACATGGGATGCTACCCTGCAGAAAGGGAATTGCATTTGATAGAGTGGTTGGCTTCCAAGATCTTTGAGGAAAAGATGATTTCACCACTAAGACACAAGAGGTGCTACTGCTAAAGAAAGGTGTAATTAGTGAGAAGAAAGATGATGAAGATGACGAAGATGATGATCATCCTGAGAATAAGTGCAGGACAGCAAGATCTTGTGTGAATCATGAGTCGGACATTGACTGAGCAGGGAACAACTACAGTTTTCCATCAATTGTCAGGGTTTCTTGCAACTGTATGAATTTTCACAATCAATTTCCAGTTTGTTGTCTCAAGAAATTCATTTTTGCAAAAACTCATGTCTTCAAATTTTGTCTTTCATTACTACCACTTATTATTCTCCATTTTGAAACATCATTTAATAGTATTTTTTATTAACATAGTTATTGTCTTTCTACTTTGTTCAAGAGAGTTTACAAAAAAAAAAAAAAAAATCCTTTGCTCTTATGAGAAGGGATATGTAAATTAGAATCAACCTTGCTGGTCTTATTTACACTACATCAATTTGCCTTATTCCAAATTTTCTGAACATCAACTGGAGCAGGGACTCTGCAACCAAAGTCTACACACTATTTTTTCAGTGAAAAATCAATTTGGCACTTCTACTCAGTCAATCCTTGGTCCATCCGTCTCCTTGCCGTCTTCGTGTTGCTATCCCTGATCCCCCTTCGTCTCTTCCTCCTAACACTAATGTCCTTTTCCTCATTATCCCTTTTCAAACTGTTTGCTTCTTCAATCTCAGCAACTTCCTCCTCAATTTTCTCACATTTACTCCTCTTGTGTTTAAGGAAGTTAACAAGTCCTTGAAGAGCAAGGTCGATACTTTCGATCCTCATCAGTTGCTCTGCCACCTCTGCTGGAGTCACCTCCGTGCTCTGTATCAAGCTTTCGATTTCTCCGAACAGGGGATGGTCTCTGTTGCTGATGCCCAGGTAATTAGAAGCCAAGATCCTGAACGCATCAACCGTGCAGTAGGACAGGTTGATGTGCAAGTCCATCCTGCCTGGACGCAGCAGTGCCGGATCAAGCCTATCCTTGTGGTTGGTCGTTAACACAATGATTTTCTCGTCCCCACAGCTTGACCACAGTCCATCAATGAAATTCAATATGCCAGATAGCGTTAACTGCAGTGAGAAAAAACAGAGGAATTAGAATCTCATACGTTATTAAAAGATTGAACGCAACTAATGGTCTTTAATCAAACCCAAAAATGGTACCCACCCTTCTGTTTGAATTATCATATTCTAAGCGATTTTCCCTGTCTTGAACCTGAATGCTGCAATCTATGTCCTCGATCACAAGAATTGACCTGTTTGTTGTTGATAACAATGCCTTTCTCAGGTCTGAATTGGAGTAAATACTTGCAAGCTCCAGATCGTATATATCAAACTTGAGGTAATTGGCCATGGCAGCAATCAAAGTCGATTTTCCAGTGCCTGGAGGGCCGGACAACAAATACCCTCGTTTCCGTGCCTTCCCCACTTTCTTGTAGAACTTCTCCCTACTCACGAACCTCTCCAAATCATCGATTATCATCTTCTTCAGGTCCGGTTCCATGGCTACGGTATCAAATGTGGCTGGATGCGCAAGAATCATGGAACGCCAGAAGCTGGTATCATGATCGCTTCGAGGGCAGGCACGAGTATAGATCTTAATTGGTCCGCACCCTTCTTTGATTTGTTTAGCCCTGGCCAAAACATAAGGTAAATAACAGTCCACGACTCTATCATAGAACTTCCTGTTGAAGCTGAGTTCGAAGGATTTTTTCTCTGCAGAATACTGTTCCCGAGGCTCTATGCAGTTATACCTCCATTTCAACTGAATTCCCCTAAAAATATCGACGATCACTTCATCCTTTTCGATTGAGAACGCGAAATTCTTTTGCCCCTCGGTTTTGCTGATCCTGAGCCGCCGTTTTTTGAGGTTGGTGTTGGTGGCGAGATAGAGGTGGGCGGCCCTGTAGATTTCATTACTTGACATCTCGCTGGATTCGTCGATAACGAAAGTGAGGTTGGAAGAGGCAAGGGTGAAGAGATAGTGAGAAAAGGAGAATAAGTCAGATCTGAGCTGCTCAGGAATGAGCTCCCTCGGTATGAATCGGAGGAGCATTAAGGTTCCGCCTAAGGAGGCGCAGGTGGAGAGCACTTTGGATGCAATATTGAACATCTCGGACGTGGAATTGAGGTAGTGAAAGAAGAAGAAGAAGTAGGATCTGAGCTGCTCAAGAATGACCTCGCCCACCACGGATCAGAGGAGCATCAAGATTTCGGCCGGCTAAGGAGGCTGGGCGGGAGTAATTTGAATGCAATTGTGAACGCCTTTAATGTGGAAAACATGGAGGCCATTTCTAAAATCAAGAGATGTTGGAAAGACGGGAGGCTAAGAATTGGGTGAGTCCCGCGATTTATACATGGTAATGCCGACTTGCAGCCGCGTCTATGGCCGCTTCCTTAGGAACGGAAATTTCCTTCAAACCCACGGATCTCTGCTGGGATCTTACCGCGAGGATGAAAATTCGAAGAATCTTCTTCCCCACAAGCACGTGGTAATGTTGACTTGCTACCGCGTCAACGCACACTTCCCTAGAAATAGGAATTTCCTCCGGAACCATAGAACTTGGTTGGGATCCCGCTAAGGGAATGGAAATTCGAAGAATTTTCGTCCCGACTAGTGGGGATAAAGGCAATTTCTTTTCACAAAATTTCACAGGAGATTTCTTTTGCTTTATAAGGACGTGGTAATGTTGACTTGCTACCGCGTCGACGCACACTTCCCTAGAAATGGGAATTTCCTCCGAAACAATAGAACTTTGTCGGGATCCAGCTACGAGAATGGAAATTCAAAGAATTTTCGTCTCGACAAGTGAGGATAAAGGCAATTTCTTTTCACAAAATTTCACAGGAAATTTCTTTCGCTTTATAAGGACGTGGTAATGTTGACTTGCTACCGCGTCGACGCACACTTCCCTAGAAATGGGAAGTTCCTCCGAAACCATAGAACTTTGTCAGGATCCGGTTATGGGAATGGAAATTCGAAGAATTTTCATCCCGACAAGTGAGGATAAAAGCAATTTTTTTTCACAAAATTTCATAGGAGATTTCTTTCACTTTATAAGGACGTGGTAATGTTGACTTGCTACCGCGTCGACGCACACTTCCCTAGAAATGGGAATTTCCTCTGAAACCATAGAACTTTGTCCGGATCCGGTCACGGGAATGGAAATTCGAAGAATTTTCGTCTCGACATGTGAGGCTAAAGGCAATTTCTTTTCACAAAATTTCGCAGGAGATTTCTTTCGCTTTATAAGGACGTGGTAATGTTGACCTGGTACTGCGTCGACGCACACTTCCCTAGAAATGGGAATTTCCTCCGAAACCATAGAACTTTGTTGGGATCTGGCTACGGGAATGGAAATTCGAAGAATTTTCATCCCGATAGGTGAGGATAAAGGCAATTTTTTTTCACAAAATTTCACAGGAGATTTCTTTCCCTTTTAAGGAGTGAATGTGAAGAGAAAGAGGTGAACTTTGTAATTTTTTTTATTTAAAAATATTAATTTTATTATTTTTTAATTT